AAAAATATATATACAAACGTATCTATATGGGTACATATATTTTAAAAGCTTTTATTTACAATAACTGTATATCATAAGAATTTTGCATTGAGCGAGGTAACCAAAGCATTTTTGCTTTTGCTTCACCTACAGTTCTTGCTATTGTTGTTGTTAACACATAGTATAAGAACCCATATGTATAGAGTTCGCGCTTTGTAACCGTCGAAACGACTTTCGGCCGAGCTTCTCCTTCAATTAAACCAGTGTTTATCGATAGTATGGTGAGTTAGTCAATTGTGGAGTGATCTACCTCCAAGGCGAATTTCATGACGTCCGTCCAAAAACCGTAGTTGTTCCGGAAACTATTGATTCTGTGCACAAACTGGTATTTTAAGATTGTGATGAGACCTATCGTGAGATATTAGTGGAACAAGCATAAATTCACTGTTGCATAAACATTTATCAACAAAAAAAATTGTCCACGTTGGATCCGACACAATATCTCAATCCTTCAATAAAACTCGTGTCGAGAACTGTTTATAACAACGGCAATGGTGCTTTAAAATATGTTTAGGATTTCCTAGGCGATGATGAATCGTGAAGCGCGAAAGTAAAACTGTAGTTTAAAGTTGTTCGCGCACAAAAGCACCCCTTTTTTTGAAAGGCTGTGTGTGTCAAAACCGTATCGATAGAATAATATATAGCCTTGAGTTTTGAGTGATAAACAATCATTTGCTGGGCATTTGTCTTTCGAGAAATAAGGAAAACCTACCCCGGAGACGTATCACTGCTCACCACGACAATGCAAGCTCTCCCATATCGATTGAAACAACTGAGTTTTTGAGCGCTCAAAACATCGATTGTTGAGTCATCCACCGTAGCGCCCTGAATTGGCGCAGAGTGATTTATTTTTATTTCCATACTCACAAAATAAACTGAGATTTCAGCATTTTTCCACACCTGATGAGGCGGTTGAGGCGTTCAAACGCAAAAATGTTCAGATCTTCGTGGCGAATAATTTGAGAAGACCTTGAGAGGATATTCGATGAGTAATATTTGTTTTTGGTCTCTAAACCCCAAAACCTCTTACTAAGTCGCTTTAGAGCAGCCGATAGCTTTTTTTTATGAACAGCTTTTATTTCAAGCTAGAAATACACTAAGACTTGCTCTGCCGAGGGTCGCCACTCGCAATTAGAAAAATTAATTCTCTATAATTTTTCGTTGTTTGTCGAAGCAGCACTCGAACTCTGGCCGTCCGAAATATATAACGCACTGCTAATTCTCTGCTATTGCGGCCGAAGTTAACTTACAGTTGTTGTTTTATTTTGCTATTATTGCTTTGGTTCATGTTTGAGCTGTTGAAATTTCCCGATTTCGTTAATATTTGCCTGCCTTTGTGTGTTTGAAGTTTGGAGTTTGGAGTTTACCAAAATAGCTGCACCGGAGGCATTTAATTGCATTCCAAAAATGCAATATTATTGCCAACGATGGTTTAGTTCGGGGATAAAGTGACGAGGGGGTTGGTTGCGGGTATTAAATCGTTACACATGAACAGCTGCGTAGTTGTGTGCGTGAGTGCAGAAAGATTTTCAAATATTTATATTGATTAAATAGCATAACCAGGTATGATAGAATTTATATTGAAAACAATAAAAATTCCTGTAGCCTTATTATTCTCCAAAAAACAATTAAAATGAAATATTTAAAGTCTATTAAATTTGTAAATAATTTTGAGAATTATTTAAATAGCAAATTGCTCACAAAACCCAATCTATTTACTGTTATGTGGTTTAGAAAAAAATTACATATAGAAAGTTATTTTTAGTTTTATTTAGTTCTTCCAAAAAAAAAATCATAATAATGAACCTGATACTCTATCCTGCCTAAGCATTTTTCATTGAATTAACGCCAGAAAGTATAGAGGACTCCAACACAACACACTAACCAAGCTGTTAAGAAAATAGCGGCTCAATTAGCGCACTCAATAGTTATTAGTTAATCATGAATTGAATAATTCAACAATAGATTATATGGCTGATGTTGGCGCAGTGGTAGAACACTGGCCTGTTAAGTCAGGGTCCGTTGGTTTGATCCCTGCCATAGGAAGTCTGATGAGGAGATGTGGTGATCTTCGAAACAGCTGTCACTACAACCATTTTTCGTTGTTGTATAACAAAATATTCAATTTATACAAACAAGCCTTTAGTTTCCTTAACACTTATATCAAAAAAAAAAAAAAAAAAAGATTACTATACTACTTTAAATACGTTATTAAAATTGTTCATGTTCGACATTGCTATGTCATCTGTTATTATTGTGTATTAAGCCCCTGCTCCATAGATTCTACCATTATTTTAGTTTTACACTCGGTTGTTGGTAATTTTTTTAATAATTAAATACCTTAATTGAAAAGAAAAGACATGAAAGAAGAGCTGTCTTCGGGTAAGCACACTTTTGTGAACGCTTAAAATTTATTTTAATTAAATATTAGTTTCCATGTCCGACCACTCAGTTGGAAAGGGCAATACGATATGGTCTTTCGATTTGGATAATTTTCGGTATCAATTTTAATTATTCTAATTCATTTTTCAAGTCATCGCTTCGAGCATAGGTTTTGGCGATTGCTGCTAAAAATACTTGCCAAAGCTAGAATTTCTTATTACTCATCTCATTACTTTTGTTAGTTTAGCTGCCGTTCGCATTTAATGACCTTCAACGTTTGTTGGCTCAAAGTTGTTTTTGAACATTATTTTGACAAGACTATATCTCAATTAACCGTAAGGTATATTATTTTGGTACATTAAATGAGGGGCAATAAATGCAAAATAAGACATTTTCCCGGAAAAACCCCATCTCGTGCCTCAAAAAAAAAATATTTTTGCCTCGTTTGTGGTCAAACAGATTAAAAAAATAGAGAAATTATAAGAACGAATTAACAGATTTAGTGAGGATTTCTAAGTGGCAAATTTTATATTTTTCGATAAATTTGATGTAAATGGTGCAGATTTTACCCCAAATTCAGTGAATATAATGCTGTTGTGGGTAGGATACATAAAAAAATACAGGGTGCTCCATCTTTTATGTCGGTATATAAACGCTGAATAACTTTCACATCTCCCAACCCAGCCATTGCATTAGATATGTTTTGGAAACGTTAATTCAGTACAAATTTTTTACGCTCCTGCGCAGAGTCGTGAATTAAACTAAATAGAAAATTTATGGGCTTTTTTTTTTAGAGAAACAAGTAAGCAAACGGATCAAAACTAATAAAGACGCCCTTATTAAGGTCATTCAGGAAAAGTGAAAAAATACCTGATAATTATGACTTAAAGAACCTTATTCAGTCCATGCCCCGTCGTCTTGGAGCTGTTTCATATGCAAGTGGCCATTATACCAAATATTAGTACCAACACTGCTATATTTATTCTTCAAGTTTTAATTATATTTGCAATAATTGTTTACAAAATGCAAACAATTAATTGACACCATAATATTTGCTGGCCTTTCAATTTTTATATATCTTTTTTGCTTTTGTGCCTTGAATTCTGGAATTGGTGTGCATTATTCATGTTAAGATTGCGCAGACTAATATTATTTAAAAAAAAAAATGAAGTTAGAGAAAATTGTTTTAGTTAGTAAAAGTCAAGCTGAAAAAATAATTTGTTTAATTTTTTTCCATTTTGCAAACAATTAATTGACATACAGTACATATTCACACAAAAATAATGGACAACATTTTACTGTATCTAAAATTTAGCTAATCTGTTACTTTTTCATTTAGACCGTACGCAAACTATGAAGTGCTTTTATTAGTTAAGATGTAGTAGATTTTTAAACACTGTATTGTGTGTTAATTTTCGTGAAAAAAATAAAATTAATAAATTTTACTTTAACACGGAATGATTTTGCTCTTTTTCTTCTTGTTGACCGCTGAGATGTCTGCAGGGGTATAATTTTAAAATTTAATTAGACACACAATTATTTTCATGAGTTCATAGTAATTCATAAAGGCAACAATTTCAGTGAACCGTTGGGGAAAAGAACACTGAAAACTCCGCGCCCGGAGGAATTATACCCAATCTCCGACCCTCTTGTCAGCTCTCCATATAAGTTAGTACAATAAAAAATTAAATTTTTTTTTTATATTTATTCTTAATTATTTATTCTTTTTAGTTTATAAAATAAAATTATATTTTTGCATTTTTTTTAAACCACTTTAAGGTAATTATGTACTTAACGTTTATTATAAAATTTTCAAGACCACTTTGTCAGTTTAACATTAAAGGAAATCTGCAAATCAAAACCTGATTTACCGCTGCAATACCTCTATTTACATATCATATATAATTATTTACAGCACATAGCTTAGTATATTGCCACACACGACACGTGCCGCTCTATATATGACGCAATTAATGCATATTGAACTGCAAATAAGCGAAGTGTGAACAGTAAAAGCAGCTGATTTGGATTCGATCTCGAACTTGTTTCTGCACATAAATTGAAAATATTGTAAAAATTAATCAAATGCAAATAGAAAAGAGAACAACATGTCGTTTATCACTTTACCACTCATGTAGGTGCATATGTACATATATGTATATATATACGTGTATGTGGAGCTGATCACTGACCATTCAGTGAAGCTGTTGCTAATTTCCATTTAAGCGTGTGCTGACCAACTACCGGATTCTTATGCAAAACAACGCGTTGATATAACTCTGTTGGGCATATTAAACAAACTCTAAACGTACAATTTAACAGTAGTTAACAAGACAAGTAGTTATTCATATGCCAAAATGAGCTCTTGGTTGAATAATTAAATGACAGTTGGCGGTCTTTTTAGCCTTCCCTTCCCTTCCTTTCCCTTTAACTCATAACAAATTAGATAAATCATTTTAGTTTTCCACCTCTTTCGCACCATTTTTTTTGGTTTGTTCGCTACCAACAAAAGGGGCTGGGGACACCTACTCATCTACTTTGCTGCACTTTGCTGGAGCTGCCGCAGTTTGTGACCTATAAAAGCTCCGACTACTCAACAAGCTGGCATAAAGCTACCGATCGACTGTTGGTAAGAACATCGAGCGGCTGTGCGAAAAAGAAAGGCAATCAAATGAAGCAAACTGTGGTGAGTAAATTCAAAATATTGTTAAATAATTGTTACAAATTCTGCTTCGTCTTACTTGCAGGTCCTGTCGTTGGCTGTTGTATGCCTGTTCTGCGTGATGCAGAGTGAGGCTAGCGTTGTACCGCTGGTGTTGGCGCCACATGCGCCGATTGTGGTGTCGGTGCCTTCAGTGCCGGTGGTGAAGATTGTGCCGGTCGCTCTTGGCGGTGCTGGCGGCGCTGGTGGCATAGGCGGCGGTGGTGGTGGTGGTGGCGGTGCACCTGGTGTACCTGGCATTGGTGGGGGTGGCGGCGGTGGTGGTGGTGCTGCTTCAGGTGGTGGTGGCGGTGGCGGTGGTGCAGCTGGTGGTGGTGGTGGCGGCGGCGGCGGTGGTGCTGCTGGTGGTTCAGGCGGCGCTGGTGGTTCTGGTGGCCATTAAACGGGCATATATACAGACATAACTGTAAATAATACTATTGCTGCGTACATTGGTTCACGTCTTTGATCTTATTTGCCTTAGTTAATGTTCATTTAATCTTTTCTTTTCACAATCACATTTCTGTCTTTCGAGTTGCTTTTGGCAATTGCAAGTAAATATTTATGTATATTAAATATAGATCGTATTTCTATGCAAATGATATATGAAAAATATATGACTAAAAACGCATGAAATGTCTAAATTTTTTTCTAACGGTTAAGGTGGTACTAAAATCGAATGGAGCCAAACATAAGATGAGTGCTTCGTTTATGTCGGTTGGTTTGATAAATTCTTCGCTTTCATTGGTAACCATTAAATGTAATAGACTAAGAGTGGGCTTAAGTTGCTGAAATAATCTCAATTAGTTAATTAGCCACCAGCGGGAACAAAGTTATTTGGATTCACTTCCTATACCACGAATGATGTATGCTGGTTTCACTCGCCATGCATCTCCTGTTGGAGGAAAGAAAATACCTTAGATATATTCTAGCGTGTCTAGCCCCTTATGGCTACCAGCGCTATTTACCTAGAAGGTTTTAGCCATAGTATCAGTGAAAATTTAACATATTGCATGTACTCCCTCGTTATATTATGGTAGTCAACCACTGCAGTAACCAATGAAGACAGTAAAAATGCAGGGAATACCGAATTGATCTTCCCAACGGTTTTCCAAATCTCGTCATCTATACGAGGCAGTACACACTCCGCTTAACGTACGGAACTTTATTTTACTAGAAGATTGCTAGTGCGTACCTTGCCACCGGGTTTTTGTGGACAACTTCTGTTGCACCCGCTTAGTGCTGGTTCACCATTTCCGTCACCATTTTTGTCTTTTTTATAAACAAAAATCCAAAGTCTGTTTAGAAAAATCTCCAAAAATTAACAACCGACGCACTCGAAAATTCTTCAGATTATTTCCATGGTTCCTGGGAAGGTTTACATGACAAAAATTTAGGAAAGTGGCCAAAAAAAACCTCCGTCCATTTGTAAAGAGTGGGTGTTCTCCAAAAGTTTTCGACTAATTGGCTTGTAATTTCCTTTTTTATGAACTTTTCGGAAAGTGGACCAGAGACTGACCTGTTCAAAAATATCTTGCTATTCTTCCCTCCGGGAAGTGGATCAAAGACAATGGTAACACCAAGGATTTTATATTCCCACAAGTATTGAGCAAATATAATTATGATGGAAAACTATCCTGAAAGGATATCAATGAGTAAGTATTGCAAAGCATTGTAGGTCTGAATGATAGACCAATGTGCACCTCGAACCTTGAAATTTGGAAGGTCTGTTCTGTAACCTGTCAACCGATAAGAATTTATGCTGCTAACCTCTATCCCTCTAGGAGGTGAAGGTGAGGAGTCCAAAGTTTGCAATGTAATGAGATTTATGGACAACAGACTCCGAAGCTACTTAACCGAGTGTGATCAAATCTCATATTCGCTAGTACGGTCGAACTTTGAAGAATTTATGCCTTTTTAAGGGACTAAGGATCATTATTTTCGGATAAATCGAAATAGTTGTTCAATTTGTTTGGATCATAGATAGCTCTATGCAGAGGTTATTATGTTGAAAGGCCTTCATTTTTGAAAGTAGATCTGGTACCTGTCTATTCGGAAAAAACTTTTTTGTTATAAATAAGTCTTTGTGGACCAAGAACCTAACCCTTCGAAAATATATATTCATGGACTGATTTGATTGATAGTTGGAACATACAATATATAACTTTTTCACTGGGTTTTGTTATTTCGTTCAGTTCTCGGCAGGGAATGTGAAGTCAACCGAATGTATTTAAGTAATTAAATGAATGGGGTTTCTAATGGTAGGAATTATTTTGATATTCAATGAAACTTTTCCTTTATATAGCACGGAGCGCCGTCTTGTTGAAAGTAAACGTTGTCCAAATCATTACCGTCAATTTGGATCGGTTAGCGCAATCCATTCATTTTCGAAAAGATAAGTTCCAATGACCATAAACCACACCAAACAGTTACACATTGAGTGTAGAGAGATTCTTCAACTATAAATCTGGGGTTTATCGAGCTCCAGAATCGACAGCTTTGTTTATTGACGCAGGCATCGAGTTAGAAATGGGCCTCATCAGTCCAGATTATTTTTCGATGAAAATTTTATAGTGAACTTTAATAACTTCAACGCGTTGTTGAAGCGAGTATCGTTCCACTTTTTATTACTGTCATAGTTTTTTATTTGTCAAATGTTAAAAATATACAACTTCAAGTATTTCATTCAGGCATTTACCGACATAGTAGTATATGTTATTATGAATAACACCTCTTAAACGAAAAAGTTTTTATTAACTGTAAGAACCCAGTAGGGGAAAATACTAGCTGTCAACTAGAATCCAAATACAATAGTTTACATTTTTACACCAACTTGTTCATCTTCATCCATTCTCCATGTAAGCAATAGATATTTTTAACATGGCGATGTCCTACGAGCTGACAATTGTCTTATTATGCATCAGCTTTATACTAGTTTAATACTAGTTCAATTAGGCATGCTGAATTTTTATTTCACCAAAAAAAAAAAAAAAAATTAAATCACGTAAAATTTAGTTCGCCGGCTGCGAGAATCGAACCGAGATCCACACGTACCATAGTGAAGACCTCTAACCACCAGATTATCTCTATGATTTACGGAGGAACGAAATCTGTGCACTTGAACATAACTTTTTAGGAAATGAAACTCAGTCGTGTTATACTAAAAAAAACGACATACGAATGACGTGGAGGTAATAATTTCAGTTTCACCGAAAATTAAAAAAAAGATTAAAATTAAAAAATTTAATTTCACGAAAAATTAAAGAAAGTAAAGTTTAAAAATAAATATGCCTCTAGCGAGACTTGAACCGGGGGTTTAACGCGCCACTGAGATAACCTCTAACCACTCGGCTATCTTGACGATGTAACGGTCAATGTCATTTTGCGCACTTCAATAGAACAGAGCAGAGAAGGGAATCCAGCCGTTATAAGAACAATATACAATGGTGGAAATTTTTATTTCTCCCGTTATTCGTGGAATTCTCTACAAATAGCGAGCTCGTATGATTTCATCTTCAATATACTAGTATTTAACTAGAATTTTCGCATACTAGTTGTTTTGCTCCTGCAGGGATGTTTGTACATAAGAAAGATTCTATTTTTTTAATTTGGCAATCACATTATCTTAGCCTATTACATTTCCTTGTTAATCTTGCAGACACTTTGTGCCAACACTGACTTTCAAAAATCTAAAATTCTTTTCTGGGGAGAACAAAAAAAGAAATAACGTTCACTACAACAAAAAAAATAGAAAAAATAAATACATCCATGATATTACAGGTTGCAACACCGAGGTTACAGAAAAACTGAATATATTTCCACCGCTTTTTGCAACAAATTTAATGTCCTTCTACATTAGTTGCTAATCTACATTCGTTTTGATTATTTCCATGTAAACTCTTCACAACTACGCACAACCGAACCCCATAAGTTCCATGACCACAGGGGTACCAAGCTGATGATTCCCAAAAATTGCATGCATCGATTTGAGGTGACACCACCCGAGGTAATGAGTAATGAATGCATCAAACGGTAAGTGAGTGAGCGATGTGATTGTAGTTTTTGTGGCCAGTTTGTTGTTTTTCATTGCTGTGAGTGTGCAAGAAGCTGCTGTTAGTGCTACACCCTCGCACTGCCGTGTGCCGGGAGACACAAAATATCCACAGCCAAAATTGAAATTCATGCGCAGATGGCTAAATTTCATTTCATTTCGTTGTATCTACAAACACATGTATGTATGTTTGTGTCGGAATATCATGCACACACACCACCTACATACTTCTTTATATCATTTGTCATATCAATGCTGTGCGAATGTGCATTCGTTTGCGCCCTTGTTACTGTTGTTGTTTTTGTTTTTTGTTGTTGCAGCTATGTAATTTCATTAGTAGCGTAGGTAGAAAATTTGTTTTTGTTATTGTTGGCATTGGTAGCGAAATGCATTGGCGATTCGAAAAATGCCAATACAATTTCCTAATTTCATTTTGCTGCCGATTTTCACAAAGCTTCCTTCCGTTTCGTATCAGCCACACATTGGCCATATGAATTCATCATGAAATGAAATGTACGAATACGCACGCAGGTGGATTATATCCTATTTGTATGAGTGTGTGTGAGTGTGTATGTGTTTGTACGTAGATATGCCTGCAGTAGAGTTATACAATGAGTTTGTATCAAATGTATTTTAGCAACTGATATTCATATGAAATATTTATGCCAAATATGAACGTCAAAGGTTTTATGGCTTACTTCATGTGTGTAGAAGCCCTTCGGGGAAAAATACTCACTGTTGACTACAATAGAATCCAATTAGTTTACACTTAACTATCAACTAGTTCGTGTTCCATCTTTGTTATATGTAAGCAACTGATATTTTTAATACGACGATCTCCTACGAAATGTAAATTTTTCAGTCTATGCATCAGTTCATACTAGTTAAATACCAGTTAATACGTACCAGTTAAAATACTAGTTCGTCCATACCGGTTGAGAACTAGTTTGCCTCAGAGCAGTCTTCATCGTACTAAAAAAGATCTACATATGTATTTAAGGCTTAATTAGGATTGTTCATCGTTTTTTACAAAGATCAAAGTGTAAAACTACACAATAATGTGTGGTTGTTGTTTTTGTAGCGGCAATGTTTGGTCGAAACTTCCAGTTACTGAAAAGTTCTGCTTCTGTTTTTGCAGAACGCCAAGTTAGTATGAGATTGTTCGCATAATACAAGTTCATATACTAGAGTTTTGGCAAACTGGTCCAGATTTTACAGAAAAATACTAGTATAATTCTAGTCTAAAAAAACTGGTATAAATTTTGCCTTTTAAATACAAGTATAATTCTGGTACACAACAAACTAGTTTGATTTCGTCTTCCAGATACTAGCATTTAAGTAGATTTTTTGCATGCTAGTCGAGTTTTCCCCGCAGGGATATATAAATGTGTATATATATATTTGTTTGCGCGTTTATTTTCGCATGGATTACACTGAAATATGTTGATTAAAGATTTTTGATTTTAATTTCATTATGACATATTTTTAAAATTTATGAACTTTAAATGTTGGAGAAATAATCTTATTTTTTGTTGAATTTAGTGAGCCCCGCACAACAGATGACACGGCAGTTTCTCCAA